GGGGTACCCTCCCCCCTGCAATGTAAATTCATTCCTTTTTAATGCAGTTGATTTGGATTTGGGACAAGGGTAAAGTGCCAGCCACCTAAAAGGCCAGCCAGAACAGTTGCCATCTAAAAGACCAGTTGGCAGAGAGATGGTTTTAACTGACTAAAAAAGGTGTTGAGAGGAGTTTGATTATTTTGGGGGTGGTGGTGTTGGCACAAACAAAGAACTCTGGACTCAGTAGAAACAGTTAATTCAGCCAAGTACCAAAACTGGTGCCAGCTCTAGATAAACTTTGCTGCTCTTCTTGCAGTTTTCAGCCAGACTTGTCCCAGTCAGCACCAGGAACTGCTGCCGGGTGCACCTCATAAATAAAAACAGGCTAGGAGAGACTTGCGATATGTTTCCTATGTGTTTCCTTTGAACAAGGTTGTATGTCCCACCCAGAGTCCAACACCAAAAAGTCAGCTTGTGTTTACACTGTCCTAAATGAGAGCTGGGGCAGCCATCAACCTGAGCAGCAGGAGAAAACCTTCCCCTTGGTCAGAAGTGTTCATCTCTGGGGTGTTGGCTCTGGAAATTACAAATGCAGGGGCAGTAGGGGGTGTCAACGAATTGCAGCTCTGGATGCAGTTTTCAGAGGTCAGAGCCATCTCTATAGAATACCTGTTATGAAGCACATGCGTAACTTTCTAAGCACAAAGCCCTCCCATACTAAGATTTGTATTTCAGGATGAGGAGAAAGAGAGATACATGTGGCATGTGTTTCTGAGCTAGAAAACATGAAAAGTTATGCCCAACAAGGAAGCACGGCACATTTGCTGAGAGGTATCTGGGAGGGCTCTCTCAATCTCTCTGTCTATCAACAGAAGAGATGCTTGAAGATTGCATCCATCCTGAAACCCTCATTTTCTTTCACAGAATAATAAGCAAATAGGTTTTAGCCTGTTGCCTACAGCGAAATGGTTTTGTAATGGAAGGAGCACCCTGCACTAAATCAACAAACAAGAGAATGGCTGTGTTTGTTTTTCCATGTACTGGAGGTGAAGGTGCAACCACGCTGGGGTTTCTTTCACATCCTCTCCACTTGACACAGTGCGGGGTACAGGCACGGACACACGCAGAGCTGCACGTCTACGTGGAGGGAGCGTGTAACTGGAACAACAGAAGCTTTGGACTCTGCCTTTCCTGGTCCATGCTCTCCTTGTCTGTGGAGTGAGAGGTGTGGGACTCCTGGCATGCCTGGAGCTCTGCCCCAGGCTGCACTTTCATGAATCCTTTAAGCCAGCGCTTGCCACCAAAGGGAGCTGGCTTGGTGTCTCACTGCCCCATGCCACTTGCTTCCACCCGTCAGCTCTTGTGCAATCACACCCAAGGGCATCAGAATGGACTACAACCCACCGACGACAGAAAGGAAGCTTTCTTTAAACCCAGCTCTGTTCCCCCTCCTGCATTAGGAGTGATCCCCACGTGTATCTTTTGGCAGTGACAAGGTGTTCGTGACTCTCTGGCCTGGGGCAAGGGGTGGCCTGGAGGTGGGGGGTTTGGGGGGGCCATGCTGGCCCCAGGGCATCCCTGCCTCCCCGTGTGGGTGTCGGGAGAGGAGAGCAGCAAGCACAGCTGAATTAATCAGTGAGGAGCAGTGATGCCGGCCGAGGTATCTAGTTTACATGCATTTATATACTCATACAACTGCACTTTAATACAGCTAATTTCACATGGGGTGGGTATTTTTGCTTCTTGATTATGAGTACAGAGCTACCAGTATAATTTTTGTCCATGCTACGAACACATCTGAAGGAGTGAGCCCAGCACAGACACAGACTCAGCGCTGATTTGGAAAAAGAGAGTTACCTAGCCAGACAGAGGTAGTTTTTCCTCCCTTCAGATGCATTCCAGAGAAAATTATTTGGAAGTATCTTGTGTGCTTAGTCAGTGCATAGGGAGCATTTTCAAAAGCAAGAGCAGGAGTGAGTTTATGTTTTAACCCTGTCTTATATAGAAGTATTCCCCTTATTCATATATTCCTAGCTTTGAACCATTAGCTCAAAACCAGGCCTACAGCAGAAATGAATACTTTAAGAGGGTATATGCTATGGAGAGCTAGCCCTCTCCATGTCTAGGACACCCAATGCACAGTTGTATGCCCATATGGGCTCATGTTTTTCATATATATTTCCTGCTGTCCCTCTTTGCTCCTCGCAGATAGAGAGGTATTTGTGTGTGCATCTGTGTGTGTTTGTGTATGTGTTGAGACAGGTACTCCTGTGCCTATACAAGTACTTGTAGACACACGCAGATATGTATGTACCCAAACAGACCCACGTTACTAGTCACGTTTACATCTGCCTATATACATGCTTATCCTGCCATGCAATCAACATACACACAAGTTTGCTGCAACAAGCCAATTGTGTTTGTTTTTTTTTTTTTTCCCTATCCTGAATTGCCAAATGCTGGAAGCTGCAGGCTAGCTATTGTGGTTACCCTGATTCCCAGGTTTCTTTTGCAGTTGGCGAGTAAGTGGCACTGCAAGTTTCCTAACAACCGGGATGAAGTTTTGTGTAAATCACCTTCTAGGCATTAGACTTTTCCCAGCAAAAGAGGGGGGCGGGTGTTTAGGGGAGGGAGAGTTGCTCTCTTTGATGTGGGGATTAGTTCACATGTCAGTGTTATCCCCTTTTTTTTAATATGCTGTGATTTATAGAAAGGCGGCTATGAGAGATAGCCAAGGGGACACCCACGTGGGACTTACTGACAGACACCACCTCCCAGAAGATACCTACAACTAAAGCAGTTGGCATCAACAGAAAGACTCCAATTGCAAAAAAAAAAAAAGAAAGCATTGTAAAAAATAACCTGTTTTGCCTAACAAATGCTTTCTAAAAATTAGGATATGCTTTAATGCTTATGGAGCAGGAACTGGTTTTCCCAGCAGCAGAGGGGGAGTCTTTCTGCACATCCATAATAAAGAAATTATAAATGCTTTTTTCCTTTAAAAAAATGATTGGTTTGTATTTTCCCCTTAGAGCACACATCACTAGTGAGAATGAGTGTGGCTCCAATAATTATGTTTGCTTGAAACATATTTAGCAATGTGACTGCTCCAGTCAGAGTTTCCATGCTCTTCTGCATGAGACTTTTATCAGAGACTCTTTAGAAAAACTTCATTTCACTTTTTGGTCAAAAGTTACATGGTTGTTCTGCAATCCAATCTTATGTCTATTAGTGTTGGAGGAAACTTTCCTGATGCTTTTCATGGGAACTGGATAAAGCTTTGACTTATTAGGCTAGAAGCCATATTCAGAGTAGCTTTGCTTAGCATATCTGAATTGCTTACTGCTTTGTAGAGTAGATGGCTGAGGGACTGGCAAAGGAGACAGTGATGAATACAGTAAGAAAGATTTAACTAGCTTTTATTTTAAAATAGTATGTATTAGTATTTTTTCAAATTTCTATCTGTTTTGGCCCCTTTCAATTCCTTGTATTTGTCCAGGTCTCTTTCAATGAAACTTTGAGACTTTCTAGTAAAGCAAACTTTTTTTTTTTTTTTTTTTTTTAGTAAAAAGAAAGTTTAATTTCCAGCTAGATCAGATCTTTGAGTAGATCCCCTGCATGGCTGCACTGGTGTTGAAGGCAGTGGGGGCAACAAGTCTGTGGCAGCCCAGACTCAGAGTGAGCTGCTGTAAAACTGTCATAAATAAGCAATTTTCCTGTGTTGTCACCACAAAGGTAACATGGGGTCTTCCCTGGGTGTGATCCCTAATGCCTCTCCTATGCAGATACCCAAAGGCCCTCATTCACCTTTGCTGCTGCTTTATGGGCGGGCTCGTCCCAGCACATCGGGCGGCTCAGCGACCGCCCGGGCACCTTACCTTGAGGGACAGACAAAAGCCAAGCCACTTCTTCGCCGCTACGTCTCCAATGGCCTCCCGCAATTCCCCTGTTATTCTCTTAAACATAAAGACGTTATTGTGTCACCCCCCAGGAACCCATGACTGCCGCTGACAACCAAAGCATGACGCATGACGGGACGTGCCCCACACAAGTAGGCTTTGTACCCGGGGCGGTACAGTAAAGTGGCCACGTTCAAGTGTGGCCTCGCAGTGTGACTTCTCCCACCCCAGCCGGGGCTGCTCCATGTGCTCTGACCCAAATGCTAATCGCCCTTCTTAAACCCACAGTGAAAGTGCAGACAAAAGCTCTGCCGGCATCTCCCCAGCCGCGCGCGCCCCGGCCCAAGGCCCCTCCGAAGGTTTGCTGCAGCATCATGCCAGCACGAACAGGCTCTGCGGAGCACAGCAGAGAGGCGTGCAGGTTTGGCTCTTACGGGCCCGTCTATGCGCTGCCTTGGCTTGCTACTTCTCTTTTGTGCCACTGTAGTGACTGCAAATGCAATACTTCTCAGAAATGTGCACAAAATAATGAGTTATGTGCACATATGCCCTCCACCCCCGAGAGGTAACAATATAGTAATTCAGAGTGATGTCTCCTTTCACCCCAGCCTGATGCAGGATTGGGGATGGTGAGGGGTGTGTGGGGAGAGAAGGGTAACTTGATGGACTGGAAATGATAACCCCTTCCACAGTCTGGGAGACGTGCCACATATGTTTCTGGCAAGGAAGGACATTTAAGAGACATGGCACATGCTGCGCTACTTATTCTTCTTCACAGATGGCCCACTGGGGCCAAAAATCAAAACCATTTTCTGCTTGTTTGTTCAAACTGTCAAAATATTTGACTGAATGAATGTCAAGCAGTATCTTGAGGACAATACTTCTTAGAAGGAAAGAGAATTCGGTGATCACTGGGCTCCCCCGTTTCACTGCACTTTCCAGAAATGGAAAACCCTCCTCGCTGGTCTCCTGGCTGTCACGTGGCAGGCTGGGGCAATGCCAGCAGATCACGGGCACAAACATCACAGACTCGTATCTTCTTCTACCGATGTGTTACCATTTGGGTGCTCAGACCTATCTCCATTCTCACCGGTAGTTTAAATCCTTCCTGACGGGTTAAATACATTTTTCCGTTCAATGAACAGTCAGCACTTGCTGATTAAACCCCAGTATTTATGTATGTACTTTAATTATTTTCAGTGAGAAAAGTAATTCTTATATTTTTCAGGTATGCTCTCACCTGGGAGAAGCAGGATTTCTCAGGTCTCTTGTTTGGATTGAGTTGGAAATATCCAATTTAAGCAGAGTATGTTAATTGCCATATATACTAAAGACTTATACAAGCCACTTTCCAGTAGTTACATTTGAGTGTAGAGACTGAGACTAGAACTCAGATTTTATGATCTTGGAGGCTTACAATTAAGAATTAAGCAATGTAATAAAATATAAAGCAACAGTCAAACAGCCAGCCCGTCAAGCAGAAGAGGCTTACACTTTTGAATGCATCAGAAAAACACAGAATTTGAAAAATACTGTCAATTATTTTGTTGTTTTTGCAAGTTATGTTGGTAATGATGGAGCTTAAAACAGAACAATAGACGTAACTTAAAACTTTGCCATGGTTCTTTTCACTTAAACCCACAAAAATGCATGTATAGGTTGGAATTCATAACCAGCCTGCCCCCTCCCCTCCAAAAAGACCTCTCAAACTGAAACCAAATGCTGTTTGATTATCCAGCTATTGGCTGGAAGGTGCAAGTGGCACGTCTTTCTGTGGGCCATGTGAAACCCAGGTGAACAGTGGGCCCTGGAAGCCAGACACAATTCCCATGCTTTCCAAAGCCGAGCTGCAATTCATGAATCATACACTGTCACATGCGTGAGATCCTATGTGGAAGCATCAGGTGGAGGACAAGAACTCTTTCTGCAGGAGATTTTTGTACTTTCTCACATTACAGCGATAGCAAGGAAACGACTATCACTGTCTATATATCAGAAACAGCTTTTGAACATTTCTGCTTTTCATCTATATTTAATAAAAAATCAATTCCATTTGAGATGCTCCAAAAGCATGTGTTTTCTCTGATGTCTCACAGGTAGGAGGGATGCAAAATAAAATTGTTTGGCACTTTCACAGGTTGTGTGATGTATTAATGACCAGCACCATCACCTAGGATTTGGTAATGGAAGGCTTTAGGGACAGGACTGTCTTTTCTTTTTGATTCCCTAGTAATAAACATATTGGCAATGTTAAACTTACGCTGGATCATAGCTGTGAACCCTGTAGCTGTGTACCCTGTATGCAGGCTTTAAGAAGTGATTACCATACCCTGCTGAAGCAATTAACCACTAGCAGGGCTGTTGGGCTAGAGAAAGTGGGGCAACAGCAATATGCATTTTGTTGGAAAGCAGCAGTTCTTTTCTTAATTCAGGTCTAAATGGCAGCCTTGTCAGACATTCACCTGGCTCCACTGCTTGTATTTACAGCTCAGGAGAGAGCTCAAAGACTCTGGAAATGCTGCAGCTAAATAGCCACCTTCTTAGCACCCTGCCCGGTGCAAAGCCTCCCTGGCACCTGATTAGGAAAACACTGCAGGGGATTCACAGGAATGGGGCTGGGGTCAGGAGAAAGTGTTAAACCTTTGCATGTAACTTTTCATGTGACCGGGCTGGCGGTTCAGTGACCGTGGGCTCCACTGGCAGGCAGTGGCTTGTGGAGACCTGGGAATTATTATATGGGATTGGGAGAGAATGCCAGCAATGCGCACAGGGCTCGGGGGGGAGGATGAAAGGCAAACGCCACTCAATGAATGAATTCAGAAATACGCATGCGATTTGTGAATGATTTCTTTCCCTTCGCTGAACCTGCACACAAGTTTGTACAGCCACTGGTGAAAGCCCCACGACACTGCCCCATGGCCGAGAAGGTCCGTGATGGCCCCCTCGGCTCCCCCAGCCCACCCACCACTCCCCAGCACCCGCCGCCACACCGGCGCAGGCCATGCAGCCGTCCCAGGTCACAGATGCTACCAGCAGCAAGCAGGGTACCATTTTGGCATGTGGCGCACAAAGCTCCTTGCCAAGGCACCAGCAAGCCTCCTAAACGTGGCCACCCTCTGAAAGAGAGGGGGTGCAGCTCTTCTGAATGCGGCAGCTCCTGCTGGTGGTGGCAATGCCATGGGGCCGTGGTGCACCCATGGCTGAGCGTGAGGGTAAACCCATGCGTTGCTGATTTGGCAGCCTGGACCAAGCAGCGCCAGAACAGCTCATCGGATGGGGGCAGAGCTCAGGGGGTGCCACCTCCATCGTCACCACGGTGGCTGGAGGCTCACTTGCCTGATGTCTGGCCCCCCAAGGCAGCTGCTGCCATCAGATGGGGTTTGCGGGCACATGCTTCGGAAGTGCACATAGAAAGCGTAACTCGCTGCCTCCCCACAGCATGCAATTTTGGAAAGATGGGAGCAGGGCATTCGCTGCCTAGAAACGGTGTCCCTGCAGCTCCTCACTTGGCATGGTAGAACCATCTTTTATTATCCTTCAGGGCTACGGCTGCAAACAAAAAATGCTTTCATTTCACTTTGGCGGCAGCTCAGGTTGTGTGTGCTCTGGCTGCTTCCTTAATTACAGTGGTTGTTGACAACTTCTTGTGATAGAGACCCTCTCTTTGAGCAGTCCTCCCACTCCCCCACTTTATTTTTGCAGTCTGCACACATAACAAACTGGGACAACGTTCTGTAAAAATAAGCTCACTGTAATGCAGTGATTCCCGCACCGCAGTTATGCTGTGTTCCTCTCTTCTGTCCTCGCAGTTTGTGCTGCTGCTGTTTATTTCCCCTTTCTGGCTATAAGACGTTTTATTTATTAGTGCTGGATTTCCTGTTGCCTGCAGCTGTACTTTACTCTCTCCAGCTCACTCTGCTGTTCAAGTCAGTCTGTAGGTTTGTTATCCCACTGACTGAGGTGCTCTCAGCAAGTTTGGTTGGTGATTGTAATAAGCAACACTTGACAAAGAGGGGGTCTTGCATGGCAGCTTGGACATACAAAATCCCCAAGCAAATCAAAAGCTGATACAGGGAGCCCTCACAGGCATAGGAGGGATCCTTTTATTATGACTGACTGATGCAGAGATCATGCTTTCTCAGATGGCAGGGTTGCCTCTTGTTTTGCTTGCACCACAGGGAGGAAGTCAGCTCTTCAAACTGTATACAGTCTGTAGGTCTGACGGATGAGGAATTAAAGGTTTGCAATTATTTACATTTCAGATTGTGGGCCACATCATAGTAGAAACATCATGTGGACTTTCCACACGTGAGGTTCGTGAATGACTTCCCTGACCTTTTCTGGACTTTCAACATCCTCGTAGTAAACACAAAGATTGCTTATACGGAAAGTGAGATCATGAAGGGAAAAGAAATGTTTTGCTGTTTTGAATGTGATTTCTCTGCTGTAAGGAAGGAGGAGGCATGAGCTCTTAATGTTCTCTGTATTACCAGCAAGGTCAGTTGGAAAAGCTCACTCATCTGCACTGGGAAGAAGTGCTTCATCTAATTCTGTCGTCTGATACTGATTTGGTAATATTTCAAGTGGCAGAGAATAAGGTTGAAGTATCACCTAATGGTAATGTCCTCTCTCGTGTTTTATGAGTGAGGGGCTGCCCTAATTTCATCATCTTTTCTTTCTGAGTAAAGAGAGTTAAGGGTGAAGTGAACGCCAAGGCATGGAGGCAGCTGTGGCGTTTTACCACGATGCAGCTGTAGCTCTGTCAGGATGTGATCCTTTCAGCTGCTGTTCATGGTGGGCAGTTGCTGGTGGAGAAGCACTGCAGGTGCCGCAGCATTAGACGCTTTTTCCTTTTTGTCAGGAGTGCGAGAGCTGCCCAGAAACATTAAATAGGGAATGGTCATCTGACATCTTCCAGGTTAAGATGGAAATGGGAGATCCTGAGCGTTTGAATTATGAAAGATCCCAGTGTGTTACCTGCAAGCCAATGTTTTAACCCCAGAGTCCTGGCCAAATTCCAGCTCTGCTAATTACATCCTGCCTATGTGAAAATTCCTCAGCGTTTGTACACCGCTTTCTCCCCTGGTTGTTTTCAGCAGCTGCGTGGAGTTGCCAGGCACAGCGAAGTGCTTGCCATGTTCCACCTCAGGCCTGGCTGCCTTTCAGCGGGGAATGAACTGAGCACTGTGCAGTGCCTCCGGATCCTCTGCAGGGAAGGGTGCAGCAGAACTGTGCCCAGGGACCAGCGCTGGGGCCTTGTCGTAGAAGGTAACAGCGTGAAGAGGCCAAAGGCACCAGTGCTGGGGTACACTGCAGGGCCACAGGAGAGACAGGAGGAGGCTGCTGCACTGTGATTTGATTTTTCTTCCCTCTCACCTACAAGGGCTGAAATAGCTGGTACACACTGATCTGGTTTTGGGGGCTGACTGACTTCAGGTTTGTTTGCACAGTGGGAGAAACTCTCAGTCCCACTTACATCAGCCACTGTCAATACATTTCCAGCTTTTGCACATCTGGTTATTGATCAGTGTGGACAAGGGAAGCTAAGGGAAAAGAATTAACTCAAACCCTTAAAATTTATAGATTTGTTTCCTTCTCTTCCACTTCATGACTCATGTGCATGTTGCTTTTTGCTCAGCCCTGTTGGGAACAACTCTCTTCAACTGACCATTAATCTCTCTGGTAAAAACCTGACTCACACCACTGGAGAGGAACTGGTTGATGGATTATCTCTCTCTTCTGAAAAGGTGGAAGAGATGGCAGCAGCAGTAGTTATAGGATTCTGATAATAAGAAGCAGAAAGACATGCAGGTCACATACAGAAGTATAATGAAATCACATATGTTCAATATAGGAGTGACTTAATGGCTCATCTGTCCAATTTTCTTGTCAGACAAGTTCTCCCTTTGATTATGGCATTTTTACCACAGTCCTGCCTGAATATTATATGGAAGCACATACAAAAATGTTTGAGGTTGCTCCCAATAGTACACCGAGTCCACTGGCAGCAGTGGAGGCAGATGATGCCCAAGGCAGACAGAGCAGTGACCCGCTTCGCCCACCGGCTCCGCACCTCTCATCCCTCTCCGATCTTTCAACATCTTAACCCATGAGACAGGAGCTGTGAGTAGTCTCTCTGTTCCAAGGGGGAAAAAAACAAGGTTATCTCAAGGTGTGATGCCAGCATGTTTCCACTATATCCCAGAAGGGGAAGAACAGCAAGCCTTGAAAAGGGAGGGAATGTGTGTTGTCTGGTGTAAAGTAGAAAGCTGGGACTCAGAACCCGAGTCCTGTTGCCACGCTGCCCATGTGACTTCAGGCAAGGCCCAACATTTTTAGTCTCATTAGCCCTGTCTTTAAAGTGTATTTAGTACTTGCTTCATGGGGCTGAGGAGAAGGGGATTAAGCTTTAATTCAGGAATGTTTGTAAAACATTTTAGAACTTGGATGGAAATTTCCCAGGTAGCGCAGAGAGCATTAAAAAGCTTATCTCCCTCTCCAACTGCAAATGGTCCTGCAATATGAGAGAAGTAAGTGAAACAGTGCTTGCATTTCAGTGTTTATAATAATAAAAACCTACCCTCCAGCTTTCCCTCTCTACCCTTAAATGTTTTTTTAAAAAAGGAGAGACAGCAATGAGAAATTTTAGTCTTAACAGAGTGTAGTTGCTCCCTGGAGACTCGAATGCATCTCAGTGGAATTTTCCCTGCCTTCAGCCTTTTGTGCTTCTGAAAGATCCTGGAACCAGGCATGTGACTGTAAGAGCAAAAAAGACTTCTGTGTCTGAGTGCTCTACCAAATATTTACAAGATACCCAGATAAAATGGCTACAAGCAAGTTTAGCAGGGTTTGACTGGATGGTCGGTAGTGCAACATTGTCAAGAGGAAAATCTAAACTTTACTTAAAACAAAATAAAAATTAAATTTACAAAGGTCTCTTCAAAGCACAAAACTGGTAACATTAAAGCTGGAGAATTGCTCTTCCCCAAGGTGAAACATATTAGCTTTTAGAAGTAGCTTACTGAAATGGAGTAGCTTCCTTGTTGTGATAGAAACTTCTTTGCTAAAGGACAGCCCAGAGCTGTGTGAGTAGGCATGTAAATAGGTAGCTGCAGAGTAGCCCTCTCCACGCCTTCCCGTTTGGTGGCTGGGAGGGACGCGACATCAGCTGCCACATCCCATCAGCCATCCCATCCCATCAGTCTCTTGCACTGCCACGGTAAGGGTGTGCAGTACGAGGGGCCATGTGCTCCCTGGGAACTCTCTTGTCACCCAAAGCCTGCCTAGCAAACTGGAGATGGCAATCTGCTTGCCTCACTGCCACAGGTGGCCTCACCACAGCCCATTTCCTCGCTGGGTTACCTACAGCCACTTCAGCAGTACTCCAGACCTCCCATATTTCTGCACAGGTTACTCTTGCTTCTCAAGAGGTTGCTCAAGGGAGGCTTTCCCTGGGGCTGCAGAGGACAGAACCGGCCTCTCAGGCCAATGGTGACTGTGCATCGGCAGCTGGCTCTGACTGAACCCGTGGCTCTCCCTTAGGGATGTGAGGCTTGAGAGCTGGAACAACCTGATCCTGATCACAGCAGCCAGCGATGCCTTCAGCGGCCTTGAGCAAGTCATACATTCTCTAAGTCTATAAGGTGAATAAATAGTTCTGTGGTTTGCAGTCATGTTGTGAATACTTTAAAGGTGCTTTGAAGACAGAGGAAGCTAAGCAGCTGTAATACACACCAACCTTCCCACCTTTTGGATTCCTACCTGCTCTCCTCCTGTTCTGAACTGTCAGAACCCGGCTGTTAGCAATTCTGTTACATCATCTCTGATGATTTTCAGGTGAGTTACGGGAATAAGAGCTCACTGAACTATTGCTTCTTAATCAAGCCAATGACTGGGTTTATCGTTTCTCTTAAAAAGTAGAAGTGAACATTTCACTATATTATGGGCTGTGGACACCAAGCACTCTTGTGTGTTTGACTGTTGGTTCCTCCAGATTGGTGAGGTGATGGAGTGAATTAGGAATGCATGTGTGGCCTATGCTTCTTCAGCAGCATGTGTGTTGTTCAGAGGCTTTTATTACTATGTCACTTAAATTGAGCTGAACAAAAGACAGGATTTGCACAAAAAATTCAGATTTAAATATGGCCCCACACATACAAAGAACAGCACTTGGTTTTAAAGTTAGTCCTTAAAGAGACCAAGAATGCTCCCTATCTGCTCCACCAGATTTTTGAAAACCAAGGTTGTCATTCATCATCTCTTAGCGGAGGTTTCATTTTCATTTGTCCCTTCTAGAGATTGGAGGTATTGCTCGGAGTCTCACCAGCGATGCTGAGTAAAGCAGCATCAAGTAAAGTATCTTTCAAGGCAGTGTTCCTCACTCGTATGGTCTGCAGGGCAGGATTGGTTCCTTCCCGGGTTAAATTTGTTTGATCCCTTCCATCTGAAACACACAATAAAGACAGACCTCAATGACAATGTGTCAGAATGAGATCACAAAGTTACCATTTCCTCCAGCTAGCAACCACTTGGAAACCTGTTTAATCCACAAAACAAATCAAGGTAATTAGTTCAGTATGAACTAATTTCACATATTTGCTGAAAATGTAACGATCCTCTTTCTGCTAGTTACCTTCTAGTTCTAGTTCCACTAGTCCTTCTAGTTATTGGTGGCCAGACTTTCCTTCTCATTCTGGCTGGCAACGCTTCTGATGCTACTCTCATAATCTGGAGCCAAACCTTAGACTAGTCTAGGCCCCTCTACCATCCTTTGGCAGAGCTCTCCACAGGCCAGTGTATATTTGTTGAGGACCTTTGCATCACCCTAATTTTCCAATAAGACTGGTTTTTGGTAGCCAGTGCCTATGAACAGAGAATGAGATGTGCAAGAGGCCCAACAGTTCAAAACACATTTCCTAGAGTTAAACAGAGCACAGCTTCTACCAATATATTTTCCAACTATGAGCAAATTGCCTTGGATTCAGATAAAATATTATGGCTCCACCCTATGTGCTTCACTAATACCTAAGCTGAGAGCAGAGCCTGCTTCCTAACCAGTATGAGCTGCTCCTCTTCTAATCTTAGTCCCATGTCAGTGCCAGGCTTGTAAAGTGCTTTGGGATGAAGTTTTCTATGTAGATACAGGATATTACATTACTGTGATTAGACACCTTATGTTAAAAAATGGACTGTTGCTTGTGAGAAGAGATCTTGAAAAACAAAATGAAAGCCTTCCTGATCAACCCACATGCTGATGCAAAGAACACAAACTGAAGAAACACACAGAGTTATCAGGACCAAAATATCCAAAGTACTAATGAATTATCAGTTAGATCATGTCGATGTCCTCATATTTGCTGCTATTAACTGTGTTGCAAGGTGTCCCAGCCCTATTCAAGTATGTACTTCTCTTCCGATCTCTGCAGCTGACCCACCGAGAGAAGCTCCATCATAGCACCGCAGCTGAGGCTGAGGTAGCTGAGGGAGACCTCAGCTGCCAGAAGGACTCTGCAGAACAGACAGTTCATACCTAGGCCAACTCCTATTGTTCTGTATCAAAGTTTTGAAGAAAGTCAATAAAGCTGAAAGGAGGGGGGTGAAAGGCAGGGTATTGCACTGCAAGAGGCCATGACATTATTAATATCAACAAAAGTGATACTGTAGAGAAACACAAGGCTTACACAGCTTGTCAGGGGAAGCTGTGACTCAGTTCTCCTTCTCCCCTCTAGCCCTGTTTGTTAACTATGAAAAGCAACTACGCAAGAAGAGAGTTGCTCATAGAGCTGTCTTGGTGTAACTATACTGACAGCGATGATAACCCTAACGCAGGTAGAACAAACCCCACTTTTTCCAATACACCTTTGATGAATTCCTCAAGGGAAATACGCTATACTGACAAAAGCACCTCTAAGTTTAAAACAGCTTTGGTATTTACTGCAAGACACCTACAGCATTGTTTAAAATTATATCCCTACCCAACTATATTTAATTTTAATGTAGAGCTGTCTTGACAACCCAGGAAATGTGCAGAAAATCCTTCTGTGAATTTACTGGGAGAGCCTAAAGAATCAGTGCAGTTGTCTATCCTTCATCTAGCTTTGGGAGAGGGCTAGCAAGAAATGTATCTGAGACTTGTTTCAATAGAAAGCTAGGAAAGGGAGTAGGTGAGCAAATTCTTCCAAAGAAACAGCTCTTGACCGGCCTTTGGGAACTTTATATTCTTATCCTATTAAAAGAAACAAACAAATAACAAATAACACCCCCAGCCCAAATCCAAAAGCCCAGTCTCTCAGCAAGGGAACAGAAAACACTGTCTTCAGGAAGAATTTAGGCATTCCATAGTCATGATGTACTAGGCTTATAAACATTATAATTCTTAATGCATCAAAGATAATGTAAAAGATTTTCATAGTGTCATATTAGCCAACTACATTCCTGAGCCTGAGATTACCCAGTAAATATGCATTTTCAATATGCTATCTCTTTTTGCTCACTTGTTTGTTTCTGTTAAACCATGATATTAAAAAAAAAAAAAAATCACAGGAATTTTGGAAGTCTGTTTAACACCACTGCTTTTTGAGCAGCATCACTCAGAAATTCCAGGCCTAATAAGTCTCAGATTTTGTAAAGCAGCTGGCCATACGTTTCAACTCCAGGATACTATAGCTTTTTTCTGGTCTTTCAGTATGTTTCATTTTCCACCAACCAGGGTTTGTATAGGAATCTTAGTGGCAAGTTTAGCTGAAGAATGATACCACCCATCCATAATGACAAGTTACAAAGCTTAACATAGATTTTCAGCACTGTTTTTCTAGAATAACTGCTAGTTATTAATAGGTATTGAACATCTCCCATTGATGTTCTGCGGAATAGCATTACCCAGTTGTATCCTTAACTGAAGTAGGCTGATGCTATGTAAAGCTACTTAGATTTCTATAGAGGGTCTGATTCAGTCTTTTTTATTTTCTCTGAGTGATTCAACTGGTGGAACTGGCCTAAATATTATAGGCAAGCACCTGTAACCCTTTCATGGGGCTAGAAGGCTATTTGTAGTGTATGTATGCAAATCAACTTCAGTTTGAGATAGTCTGGGAGAAGTTTGAGGGGGATTTCCCTGCTTTATGTAATCCATTGTTGCTTCTTAGCTTCCTCTATTCACACGGCCAGGAGGCATAAGCATGACACCGCTGGTAATTTCTCAAACTCAATCTGAAAGTGAACACAATGTGCTCACTGACAGCAGTCTTGCAGGATTTTGGTAAATCCTCAGATGCTGGCTCAATGATATCTGGAATAAAGGAGGCCTGAAGGAGCAGTGTGGGGAATAACTCAGATGGTAAAGACTTCATTGACTGGGGTGCTTTGAAAGATGTCAGCAGCCAGGAAGATGATCTATCTGCTGTCCCTCGGATATAACTCTGGCCTACCCATAGCTCTAATTTTACATTTCTTGATCAGTTCAGAGTGCTGCACCTTGTGCATATGTGCTGTCAGTTCAGTGTGGGGCAGTTACCAGACCCCTGCAGACTGAACTGCAAGCATACAGCTGTGGCTGCCTTCCCTGGCCATTCCCACAGGGAGGTGAGGAACAAAACTTGTCTTACCATGTGCTCAGGTGGATCTAGTCCCAGTGAAGATACTGAAAAGACAGGCCAGACAAAAGATTTAAGGCAGAGAGGAGAAACATCCTGCTTTCTAGCAGCCCACAGAGAGCTCTGTGCTGCTATGGCCAGATTGCTTCTGATACCCAGGTGAGCCTGTTCAGTGCTAGGATGGGTATGGCTCTCTACCCAGTGCATCGTGCTGTACAGATTGAGCTGTTACTGTTCCAAATTGGAAGATTTATAATTCAGCAACTATCCGGATTCTGAGAAACACACTTACTGAAAACCACAGCTAAGGGAAATATGACAGGTGAAGTAAGCATGGTGGCACTGAGGAGGAAGGAAACCTCTCTGCAGTGCACTGATAAGAATGCACTTGATATATACTGTGCTCAATCTGGACAATCTGCAACTGGGAAAACACAGGCTAGCTGAAGGAAATTCAGCTTGGAGCCCTAGGGACTGAATCAGTCTGTTAAAATGCTTTGTTGATCTTATTTATCAGTACTTAATTAGGATGCTTAACCAACATATTGGAAAGATAGTAACTTAAATATTCAACAAGCTGACCTTTCAGTTACAATATGACAATGCTGAATAAAGTTCATGAAGAGCTTGTCCTTCCTAGGTACTCCAACAAAGTCAAAGGGAACTGGACTGGACCAAAAAAAAAAAAAAAAAAAAAAGAAGTAGGGCACTATTGTGGAGACCTGGTTAAAAATCCAAGTCCTGCCATGGGCTCATTGAATGATCCTGGGTAAGTTGTTTCCTGCTCTGTGCTTCAGTTTTTCCTATCTGAAAAAGAGTACAACTATGTTGATCTTCCTTGTAAATTGCTAAGATGAATAGCTAGAAAAGCAATAATACATTATTAATTACTTATTATTTCTGAGGAAAAAAAAAGCAAAGAGAAGAAGCCATCAATCTTTCAGCATTTTCCTGGTCCTCATAGAAAGTGCCACATAACGTGGATTTCACACAACAGAAAATTTTGGTGAGCCATCTTTAAGAAGAAATAGTGGGTGCACAATTTAAAGAAAGTTAAAAGCAGGCAGACACTCAGGAAAACGCTCCAGATGGTGAAATGAGTTAGGCTGAAGAGCAGGCTCCCACAGGAAGCGGTGAAACCCCCATTGTTTGAGACACTTGAAACTGAATTCTTCAAAGTAGTGGTTTATATAATACAAGGAACTGTTCTGCGCTGCCTCAAAAAGTAGTTGCACTGGGATGACCTGCAAGAGCTACACTGACCACTTCTCCAGTTTTAAGAGGATTCTTGCCACTCTAACTATGAAGAGCTGTAGACTCTCTTTTTATCAGTATATTACCTGGGGAATATCTACTGGGGAGTAGCTACATTGTGTTTTTGCAGGGGACAGATTCAGCATCCCTCAACAGATCTTTCATGTTCCTAGTTCCGAGATCTGAACTTTGTATGTCCAAGAGGGGAAAAAAATCCCCCTATTCTGTGTTTGAGAACTACAGTGTGCATCCTACAGACAGACCATTTATTTCCCGTATTGCACTCTAATGAAAAACTGGGTGGCTTGAGTTTTACAAGCAGTGGTTTGCAGAAGAAATACCATGATTTTAATGGGAACCAAATGAGCGATCATTACGTAAATGGCATTATGAGACACAGAACTAATGTTGAAACGTTAAATACTCTGGGTCAAACTCACCAAAATGGGAACTGGCAGCAGTGTGCTGGAACATTGGGGTTTCTCCATGCACAGATAGTACTGCAAACATTTCCCAATGCTGCTAATGCTGGTTCAGCTCCTCTGGAGGTAGCTGTGGAGGGAGTCTGACTGCTTCTGTTGTTACTGGCTCTTAAAAT